GAAATGCAGTACTTTGGTGGAAATACTTTATTCTGACACAGAGAATAACAGCAACCAAACTAATATCCATGGACATGGAGGAGTTTTAGGTCAGTGGGGTACTTTTCTTCATTACTTTAGTGTGATCATTTGCATGTCCAAGGCAGAATAAATCTACATCTTGGGATAAAAATAGGGGTTTCTTTGCCTGTTTGCTAACCTACAATCATTCAACTAAGTCAATTGACCAGTAATGGCTACTCAGTACTGTTTCTCTGAGTGGAGAGGCTCAGTGTGAGATGAATTTTGTGGTCTCTAGCAAGCTCACTGGCAAGCAATCTGCTGGGCTCCCTCCACAGTCCATGGAGAACATGAGATTTTAAATACATGTTTACTGATAAAGAAACAGACCTAGCTCTAACCTTACACATTTAAAGAAATAAAAATATTAACATCAGGGATTTAAAATAATATTAAAAATATTTACTAGATATTTGCAACTCAACTCTTCCTGTTGCAGTTGTGTGGTAAGTCTCTTGACTGATATCAGTGTAGTATCTCTGGTCATAGAACAGGTGTAATGCACAAACTGGGATTGATAAAGGGAAAATCAGAGCACAATTTTCCCTCAAGTCACATTAAATTTCGTGCCTTCAATAGACAGCTCATATTACAAAATCTAGCATGGTGGATATAACTAGAATGATTTCTTGAAACAAGAGTCAATACAGAAAGCTTTGGTACAAAATAATTATTTTATTATTAAAAAAAAAAAAAGGAAAATAAATTCCAGTGCAGCAAGTTCTCAGAGGAGAGAAATAAAATGTTATTTCATGAAGTTCACATTTGTCATAATATGTAAATAGTAGGACTAGAAACAATAAATAAATATTTTTCATCCACCTTCCCATCCCCATCCACTGAGAAATTATTAAAAATAGGGTGAAGGAAAAGTATATCTTGGACTAGAAAGAAAAAAAAAATAGCAATATTCTATTTTTCCTGAAGATTTTATTATGCATTTTCCTACTCCTGGAGCTATACTGGAAAACAGAATGGCCATGATCTTAGTGAAAGCAGTTGTAGAATTCTACTCATTTTGAGGTTTTCACTCCAATGCCAGGCATCAGTGAGCAGGCTGTCAGCTGGTCTCCTTATGTAGTCCATGAAGGCAAAAAAAAAGATATATTTTCAATGTCTTGACTGCTGCACTAGAGAAGTTCAAAGCCGATTAAATGCAAGAAGAATGCTGCTTTGATGAAGTCACAGAGATGAAAGAGTCCTGGAAGTGGCTATAAACATCTCAGGGTACATGTGCTGTGGGTGTAACACTGGGTATCATCAACATTTTTTATTGAAGCTGTACTTAGCCTACCAGCAAAAACTGTGAAGTGACTTATTTTTGGGGCAGTCCTTCACTGGCAGTAGCAAAGGAAAGACACATTTGTTCAGAGGACTTGGGATGAACAAGCTGACCAGATATTTTGTGCTTGTTTCATCAACACATACTCAGTACACATTGCTGTATGGGCCCATCCTTGGAACTCTGAGTGATGTTCCCTGAAATGCTCAGATATGAATCCTTGGAGATATGAGAATAAACTGCTTTGATTTTTCTCAATGTGAGTAATTTAACTTTCCTTCTTTAGGAAAATCACAGTTCTACACCAGAAATGTTCAGGCTTTTATCATTGGAGTTTCCTTATATTAATTTCACAGGTTTGACACACCACTGTTGTGTCTTAATTAACTCAGTGTTAAAGGCTTCCTCAGGAACAGGCTGAAATTAGCCCAGAGATTGAGGTAGTAACTGTCCATATTAAAGTAAAACAAATCTAAATATGTATAACCAAACTGAGAGCAGATGAAAAGCTGTATCAATTAAGCTGGGGTAAAATAGCCACTGAATTGGTATTGTATTTGTATATGGTCTAAAAGAGACTAAAACTGGATCAGATCTTTGGCTCCTTTTATCCAAAGGAAACATTTTTGGTTCCTTCCAAAAGATAATTGCTGTTGTTCTGGTGTTTATAAAGATGTCTAACAAGGATTTGAACACCATAGCACTTCTCTTTTGTGGAGGTTGCAGTGCTCATAACAATGCAATTGCCTTTTCACAAAATGGGTTAAAGACATAGAAAGGTTAAAGAAAGGTTCTGGGGGCATTTTGGCACTGGTTTACTGAAGTACAGACTGCAGTTTAAAGTGCTGGGAAAACAGTATAGGCAAAAGGAGTTGCTCAAGTTGCTCTTGAACTCATACACCATAGTGCACACACTCCCTTTCCAAAGGAAGGGATGGACCATCCACAAGAGGAGTCCCAGCAGGAAGCTGCATTTATGTCTCTTCAAAAATATCAGAAATAAAACTCTTGTCTTTGTAGTGGGAAAAACCCACAAACTTAAGAGTAGTGGATGACCTTAATGTACAAAGGGTGGTGGGTTCATATCCCAGATGAGCTTTTTAACTTGCCTGCAAAGTGGAAGCTGCTTATTGAACTGCTTCTGCCTGGTGCCTGGGCTTTGTTTGTATGATCCAATAAAAGTAAAACTTAAGGAATGACATAAAAATCTGGATAACATTAAGAGAAAACAGAAGGATAGAAGAGAAGCAATGCAGCAGTGATGAGTTGATGCTCAAGTATAAATAACTTTGGGTGTGGATGGGATAGAGGAACTGTCAAAATGAAGTGAGTGAACAATTTTATTTCAATCCAAAAATTGTTTAAATTTGTCCAGACATTATTGCTGCATTCCTTAGTAGTTGATGCATCTCTTGCAAACCAAGGTGCCTGTAATTTGCAAGATGACCCTGAGAAATACTTGATAGTTGCATTATATTAGAGAAGCATTGTACAAACCAGCCTGATTTTTGGGGTGGAGGGGGGAAGCGGGAGGAGATGTGGAGTAAAAGTGGTTTTAAAAAACCTCTTTTTCCATCTCTCCTGGATTCTGATCTACTCCTTAATCACTTCTCAGCTGCTTTGAGGAGTCCTGGCCATGTCCTGTCTAGGTCCTGGCATTTCCTAGCACAGAAGTTGTTACATTAGAAGATATGGACCTTTTGGACCAGGTCCAGAGGAGAGCCACAAAACTGGTCAGAAGGATGGAGTACCTCTCCTCTGAGGAAAGGCTGAGAGAGAGGAGTTTTGAGCTAAAAGAGATAGATTCAAACTAGATATAAGGAAGAAATTTTGTTTAATGGGGGTAGTGAGACACTGGAACAGGTTGCCCAGGGAAGTGGAGATCCCTATCCCTGGAAACATTCAGTGTCAGTTTACAGGACTCTGAGCAACCTGAAGCACTGGAAGATGTCCCTGCTCACTTTGAGAGGGTTTGGACCAGATGATCCTTAAAGGTCCCCTCCAACCCAAACTATTCCATGATTCTATGATTAGGAATCAAATTGTGCAAGGTCAGGGAGTGTTGTATGTATGCACAAACACAGTCTTGTTCCAGCTGCTTGGAATGCATAAGGCAGGCAGGAATGTGTTGATAACAATAGCAATGACTACAGAGAAATTAATCATTGGTGCAGTTAGTGGAGAAAGACATCAAAGACCCCATGTGAGGACCTGATGTATCTAAAGCTTAACTAAATCAGCACCAGGGCCTCATAATTTCAAGGATAACTTAAAAGTTACTAAAAACCTACTAGCTGTTGATGCTTGCCCATAGTTATCTTTACCTTAGGCTTCACTGGCTAAAATGAGGACTCTTAACCTTCATCTGAATTCCACCCTGTGTCTCAGGAATTACCAAACCAGAGTTTGGTAGCTCCTTTAGAGGAGTAGAGTTAAGAATTGGCTTTCAGCCTTTTGTTCTCAAGACAGAGTTGTTTCCTACCACGTGGTTATAGAACAGTTGTGGCATAAGTACAACTCTGCTGTCACTGACAGACACATACTGGGCTAAACTGGGTCTCACAGTCAAAGCAGCTGAATGTCTCCACAATTGTACTTATGACCTATTGGCACAATCCTGCTACATACATGATTTAACATGCATGAGACTGCCACCCTCAGGCTCTTACTTCTTGAGGGTATTGCCATAGAGTACCTAACACAAGCATGGTCACAGGCTGATTTTGTGAGGCTGAAGTGCTGCATGACCCAATGAAATACTTTGCTGGTCGTTCAGACCCAAATGTGAACTCTGAATCATGTAATTATTCCTCACCACCACCACTATATTTCAGGACACACAAACCTTAGTTACATCATCCTATCTCCCAGACTAACTTAGTCTGAAAAAAACCTCCTTTCTAATATGTACCCCACAAATGATTCATCCTTCCCTGTAGCAAGGCGCTGCATGACTTTTAAGGCAGTGATTAGAATGAGGTACATGAACACAAGAAATCATCTTTTGTTTTTAGGAGTCTGCAGACCCTTTTTTCTTCCCATTCCTTTTAGCTGTTAAAGGCTGGTAGTTTAAAAAAGACAACTTTAGGAAAAAAATATTTTGAATCACATAAAGTTTATTTACTTAGTAAAGTTATATTACAGTATGTACAGTTTCTATTTACATATACACCTTTCTAAGAAATGAAGCACCAAATGATACAGTTAGTATTTTAGAGGAATTTACAGATATATTATTTTTGCATCCAGATAGTTATATCTACAGACACACATGGATTAGAATCAAATTCTTATCCATCACTGACTTCAGCTGGTTTTGGATTAGACTGCTAGTGAAGTTACCAAAGAAAAATTTAATTGCTGTCAGCTATCAACCTGCTGTGCTTCAGGATAAGAGATCTTACCCTATGTCATTTCCAGGGCTATGTGCAATCTTAATCCTCAGAGCCAGAGGTATTGACAGAAGGTACTTTATAAGCCACAAGAATGTAACACTTCCATCAGTAAGATTTTTACTGTCATCAAAAAACAGAGTTTCATTAAAAAGAAAAAAGAACACTGCTGGAGTGTTTATATGCAGTATGGAAAGTAAAGTTAAGAGCCTGGAAGCTTATGTGATGCCGTATCACGTATTCCTCAAGGAATACATTTGCTCTCAAGAAGTCCAGTCTTACACCCACTGAAACTTGCATGATCCCCTTAACTCAAGGGGAAAGTCTAGCTGTTGGCTTTGTAATCTTTATGCCACCATCAAGATAAAAAGAGGGCTCTGTCCAAGGTACAAAATTTCCTTCAAGTGAATAAAAGACATTTGGATGGGGCAAATGGAAAATGAGGTATTTAATAAACTATGGGGGGGAAAAAAAAGCACCTAGTTTGAAAGACCATTCTGAAAAATATTTTAGAAGTTTCATATATGCGATTGTTACATTCACCTGATTGTGGGTCACGTCTTGTATAAGCTGCTTATACTTTCTGTGCTATCTAATTCATGCTTTTCATAATTTTGCTTCACCAGACGTGGGGTCCGACGGCTGGAAGAAGACCATGTTACCCTGAGGACAGTTGCTGTGACAGACACAGGTGTTGATGAGCATCACTGGCTTTTTGAGGAGGGTGCCCTGGGGGCAGCGGAAGTGGACGTGGATGGTTTTGGTGCTGTGTGGGGTGCAGCAGCGCCCGTCGCCGCAGAGCCCGCAGAAGCGCGGCCGGTACGTCTGCACGCTCGAGCAGTTCCGGTACTCGTAGCGAAGGGCTCTCGCGGCCTTCCTCGTCCGGACACACCTCTTCCCTTTCTGGGAGAAAGATGGAGACAGCAGATATGTCATTGCATAGGACAGACAGCACTTAAACTGATGTGCAGAGATACAGGCCGACTCTGACAATTTAAACTTGCTGTCTTTATTCATTCCACAGCAAGATGACTCTGAAACTGCTTCAGTAGTGTCATTGTTAGGTCAGACGTGATGTACACATGTGATTAGGGTTTAAGAAGAAAACACTTTTTTTCCTGCGTGTTTTCTAGCTTATATATTTTTAACAAAGTGTGATTTTAGGTCATTAACTACATCACAATAACTTATTATATTCATTGATGCAAAGCAATTAGTGGTAAATGTTTAACAGAAATTTAAAAAGACACATATACACATCTACTTATGCACCTAGTCTAGCTTACAAAAATTTTCATGTATCTTTTCTAATCTGTTTTTATGCTGATGACCTTGTCTTCTTCCTTGCTATAGATACACTTGAAAATCATCAATTGTTATTTCTTCTATTAACTCAGCTTTGCTTGCAGGCCAGCTGTCAAGCCCCTCCATACAGTAGTTACCTACAGGTGACACCTGCAAGATCTGTTCTTCGACATCAGCATGATACTGGACCAAATAATTAAAATCCATTCTTGTCATCCGAGAAAAGCCCAGTCTACATTCATTAAAAAACTTTACTGAAAACCTTCTCTGGCTAGTGTAGTTCCATCAGAGAATCAGCAAGTCAAATGAGCAAGTTACAGGACTAGGTTCAGGGGGAAAAAAGGGGGCAAAATAAACTGCAAAAGTCATCACCCATTTCTGTGACTCAAGGCACAAACAGCTCTAGACATTATATTTTAACAAATGATTGACTAACTTGTCTTTGGAAGTCTTCAATGACAGAGATTCCACATCTGCCCAGACAACCCCAAGAGTTCATTATTCTTACTGCCTAGTACATTTTCACTCATGTCTTAATTTTATGCAGTCTAAACTCTCCATTTCTTGTTATAACCTCCATGCACTCAAAACAGGCCGCAATATCTGAATATGATTATGAGAAAAAATCTCTCTCTTCCCTTGCATTCAGAAGAAGTCCAGTTCTATCTGATTTTCCCTAAATGAGCATGTTTTCTAGACTACTGATCATTCTTGTAATCTCCTCAACTCCTCCCACATGTTTCATCTCCTTTACAAAACATGGTATTTAAAACTGCAGACTGTTCAGCAAAGGCCTTAGAAACAGCAAAGGCCTTAGAAATGCTTTCTAACAGTCAGAACATTACATAAATTGATGGAGCTCTTACCTAGGTACATGTTATTCTCCCTGATAGAAAAACTTGCACAGTGTGTAGAAGTATGAAAGTATTTTCTCTTATTTACAAATTTTTTTACATCAGAAATGTCAGTATTGGGTCTGCTTTGGGGAAAAAAACCATCATAAGGATTAAGATAACGTTTAATTTATCAAGCAGACATTTCACACACTTCTGTGCAGTTCCAGATGCTCAACAGACTAGAAATCTGATATATCCATTCTGTATCACTGAAGCAACTCTGATGCACATGGTACAGGTAGTACAGTTGCATTTGTGGGAGAAGTTAGACTGTCAACTGTCAAGCTGCACATGCAATACATGTGACCCATTTGGGGTGACTTAAATTATCATAGAATCATAGACCAGTTTGGGTTGAAAAGGACCTTTAAAGGTTTTCCCATCCAACCCCCCTGCAAGGAGCAGGGGCATCTTCCACTAGATCAGGTTGTTGAGAGCACTGTCCAGTCTGACCTTGAACATATTTGGGAATGCAGCACTGACCACCTCCTTGGGCGACCTGTTACAGTGTCTCACCACCTTCATGGTACAAAATTTCTTCCTTATATCTAGTCTGAATCTACCTGTTTTAGTCCTTGTCCTACCACAACAGGCCCTACTAGAAGTCTGTTCCCACCCTTCTCATAGGCCCCCTTTAAGTACTGCAAGGGGCTGTAGGGTCTCCCCAAAGCCTCCTCTCCTCCAAATTAAACAATTCCAACTCTCTCAGCTTTACCTCACAGGGGAGGTGCTCCAGTCCTTGGTGGCCCTCCTCTGGATTAACTCCAGTAAGTCCATGTCTTTCCTGAGGGCCCCAGAGCTGGACACAGTGCTCTGGGGGGTGTCACCAGAGTGGAGCAGAGGGGCACGATCACCTCCCTTGGCCCACTGGAGGTGCAGCACAAAGCTACTGAGCAAACACAGCAAGTCTAATGCTTTACCAAACCCACTCAGCTTGCTGCACTCATGCTAAAAGCTGTATTTATGTACAGCTGCATCTGGACCATTGTAGACCCTAATATTGCAACCTTGGAATTAGAGCTGAAGAGCTGCCTTGCCTCACTCTCTGCAGATTACCTTATCAGATGACTCTTCATTTTCACAAGGTCTTATCATGCAAAGCCGTGTCTGCTTCACCATCTCACACTGTTGATTCCTGTTGGTAACACGGGTGGAAAAGCCCATTCCACAGCTCGTGGAACAAGCACTCCATTCTGTTGTCTGCTCAATACAATTGGCACTTGAATCTGACACAATCCCGAGTGTGGCCTCTTGCCTGTAGGCTGGAGACAAAACCCCACAGAGCTTTATTACAAGAGAAACTCACATGAAACCTCACTATCTAATTGAGCTCTGTCATATCTGGGAAGGAACATGTGAGAAAAAACAAGGTTCAAAATCCATGCTTTTGATAGGATTTCGAAATTTTAAAAGCTGTCTTTTTAGGAATCCTGAGTAGCAACTTCCTACATCTTTAAAAAAGCCTCAAACCAGAAAAATGCATATCAATGTAATCAGCAAAGAATTTAGATTCTGTTCACTCAAATCCACAGCTGGAAGAATTACTGCCAACTTTTAAACCAGTTTAGAACCCTAACAGATTTTTATTCTTCATTCTTTCTAATGGAAATATGTCACAAATCTGTTCTAAACTATGTCATAAAAATATTTATATTAGGTATGACTTGAGAGAGGCTGAATTTTTTATCTAAACTAATAAACAGCATGGAATGAAAGTCCTTTTACTCCTGAGAGTCATAAAGTCACCCCATCTTGTCAATAATTGACAGCCTGCAGCCAGGGTGATGGTGAGGAGGCAGGAGGGAAGCCATTTCCAGGAGTTATCACAGGCACTTAAAGCCATGGTCAGGTCTGACCACCATCCTGCCCTCCTGGCACTATGCAAGTGTTGCTGAATAGTTTGGTTGGCTGATTAGCACAGGAGCAAACAGGAGGAGACAATACAACCGAGCTGTCAGTCACAGCTCTTGCTGTTAAGCTCCTCTACAACAGCCTTCCTGGCTTTGGAATGGCAAAGATCCAAAAAAGGTGGCCTCCCAAGAGGGATGGCCATTGCTGAAAGAATGCAGACAATTCATCTGTAGGCATCTTACAGATTAGCCTGTCACCATCAGACAAATCAAAGAAAAGGAAAGGTAATAGAAAAGTGTCAAACTTTTTGTTTATACCTTATGTGCTTTACAATTAACACTTCATAGCACACTGAAAAGCTACTCCAGCTTTTCTTCCTCAATCCTTTCTCACTTGTTTTTAAAATGGATTAGCTGAGTTTTGGCATAACTAACTGCCCAAGATCACAAAGAGCAGTGACTGGAAGAGAATGCAGTGCCCTCCACTCTCAGAAGAAAGTTATGAAAATCCATGTTGAATTTAGAGTATAATTAAAAGGGGATGGAGACATAATTCAGTACAAAAAAATGAAAATAGGGAAAAGCTGAAAAAGGGGAAAATTTTACCTAGCTTTTTTTAAAACCTGAGTTCTGCACTTTGGAATGGGTTGGGTTTTCTTACAAATCCATTCACCATGTTTATAACCACTGCCTCTACAAGTACTCTGTAATGTTTTTAATGCTGTGAGCACTCTATCACAGACAGGCTGGAATTCACTGGCATTGTAGCTACCACGCTGACCACTTGTAAGAGCTGCAGAATTCAGTGGGAAGAAAGTCTCTTGTAGACAAAACTGTCATAGTGTACATGTGATAAATTGTAACAATATAAGTTGTAACATATTCTTGCAGAGCAACTAGCAAGACTGCAGCTTTATTTTGTTGGGGGTTTTTTTCCCTTGGTATGGGAATGTTTGGAGGATTAGGACCTTGTCCTTGTTTTCTTCTGGTCACAGAACTAATGTGTACCAGTTAAACAGGAATTTAAAAATTGGCAACTACATTAATTAACTTTTAAAACTGCCATGCATATTCATCCTCTGAATCTTTCTACTACCTGATGAGCTCTGCCTTTATTCATAGCCACTGCTATGCTGGTCATTTTATGTTAGAAAAAACCCCGACCATACAAGCAATGTGCCTTAGATCTGGCAATCCTGTGGATATTTTCACAATGATATCACCTCCTGCTCACAATGACTATAATAACTAATTTTAGTTTCCTCACCAGCCATAGCAAAACCTCCCAAAATCACTTCATCATCAGGGTCGCAGACCCACTTCTCACAGCACTCTCCAGGGACTTCGACTTTCCTGGGGAAGGGGCAGTCGGGGCCGGGGAGCAGCAGGTCCAGGTTGCAGCGGGGCAGGCAGCCGATCTGGCCGTCGCGGCAGGTGCACTGGTACTTGCAGCTGGGCTGGAACGCCTCCCCATTGCGATAAATCATCCCATCGAACACGCAGTTGTCCCCCTCCAGCACTAGTGGGAAAAGGGGAGGCATTTCGCAGAGGCAGAGGGCGCTGGGGCAGTCCCCGGCCCTCCCAGCCCCCGGGCGGCCGCACGGGCGCCTCCCGCAGCATCGGGGCAGCGCCGGCGGTGCTGAGGATCGGCCGCTTCGCCGGAGGGCGGCCGGGAGGACAGAACCGCGGGGCAGCGACACCCGCGGCGGGCCGGGCCCGGGGAGGTGTCCCGGGGAGGGTGTCCCGGCCACAGACGGGGACGTCCCGGCCCCGCCGCCACCTACCCATGCAGATGCCGGCGGCCGCGCCGTCCTCGGGGCCGCGGTCGCAGTAGAGGCCGCTGCTCTCGTCGCAGGGCAGCAGCGCGGAGCATGGCTCGCCGCGCTGCCGGGCGCACACCAGGCAGCAGGAGCAGCCGTCCAGCACGGCGGGCACGCCCGGGGCGCAGCGCGGCGGCTCGGCCGGGCAGCGCCCGCACGGACGGGGACACGCCGGCTCCCGGCCGCTCACCTGCGGGGACACAGCGGCCCCGGGGGCCGGGTCACGGGGCCGGACCGGCCGCCCGTTCCCCCCGGCCGCGGGCCCCGCCGGGCGCCCCGCACTTGCCTCGCACGGCCGGAGCAGCAGCAGCAGCAGCGGCAGCACCAGGGCGGGCAGGTGCTGCCCGCCGCCCGTCGCCATGGTCCAGACCGCCGCCTGCCCGCCGCCCGCTCGGCTCTGCCGGCAGAGCCATCGCAGCCGCTTTTATAGAGGCGGTCGGGGACCCCCCTCCGCCACCACCCCCGCACGGCGGGCACCGCGGGCCGGAGGCGGGGAGCTGGAGCCCGGCCGGGCCCTCCGCTCCCCCCGCTCCCTCCGCCACCTGCCCCGGCGGCGCCGAGCCGCTGCCCTGCCCTGCCCGGCGCCGGGCGCGACCCCTGTGCCGGGGGCGGTGCACGGAGCGGGGAGCGGAGCCGGCCCCTGCCCGGGGGTAGGGCTGGCCCAGTGCTACCCCCGGGGGGGGGCTGCCGCCCTCAGCCGGTCCCTACGGGCCCCTTCCCGTCCCGTGTGCCCGCAGTGTCCATCCCCGGGCCGCACGCCGCGGGCTCGGTGCTGCCTCGCAGCTCCGCGGTCTCTGGCACCGCCAGCCTGGCCGGGCAGTGCTTGGCGCTGGGGACCAGCCACCCCAAAGCCCAACGCCTCTCGGGGCTATTCTGGTCCTGGCCCCGGCCTTGAAGTGTTTTGAGCTTGGTGGGCATTGAACTCTCCAGTTTCAATTCGCGGGCACTGCTCTTTACTGGAGAGGCGCAGGTGGATCAGCTGATGGGAAACAGACGCTGCATAGGGAGTCCTCCCTGCTCTGTGCAGCTCGTGCGTGTGAGTGGTCACAGACTATTCAGTGCCTACACGGTGTATGCAACCGCAGGGGATACAGAGCCAACAGGCCTGGCCTCAGGAATGCTTTGTAGAAGTAGCTCCAGTGCTCTGCGCTGTTATTTTAGCATGTGCAGGACAGATTTAAGGCCAAGTGTAAGGGAGACTAAATCTGTTAATGGGTTTTACTCATCAGGAATTGCCTTCTGCCTAAGGCAGGCCCTCTTAGGCCTTGCTAGGATACAGAAATTCTTTATCCTTAGTTGTCGGAGACAGATAATATACACTGGATTCTGTTATGGCTTGTTAAAGAGAAAATATTTGAAAAGTAAACAAAACTTGTCGACACACTAGTGAAAACAAGATGTCTTTTAAGTTTAAGACATGACACAAGTGCTACTCATGAATTTACAAGGCTACCGTAGCTCTATACCGTAGCAAAGCACAACACCAGAAATGGCAAGACACAAGTTTTGGTTTGGATGAAAGTGACCATTGCTTTCTTGATGCTGAGTGGCAACAGCAGGGTTTCTGGGAAAGCCTGGCATTCTGGGGAAAGCAGACTTCTCTGGTGCAGGAACACGTAATCTCTGGACATGTACTGGCCCTTCATTTTCTCAGGGACAAACAGCATGACCAGCCAAGGGGAAAATTGGATTGTTCAAACATTATTAGCAGCTTGGGTATGAGTTTGAAGTTATTTAAGTCATCCACTGCCTAACGGGCCATTTTGCCTTCCTTGTGTCATTTTTTCCCCCCTTGATTCTTTTCTTCATCTCTGACTTAGGCAGTCACTTTTTACAGCACCTTGCTTGTGAACAGAATAGCCAGTGCTCTTGGCCAGGCATGAAGATTTGCTGGAAAGAAGCAGGGCTGTTTCTGTAGCTTTTGCAGAAGCAAGCCTGTAAGCCAGAGGGCACATACAAGACTTGGTTTTGCCCATTTCACTGTTTGTGAACCTGCAGAGGTTTTCAGTGCCTGTAATCATTACAGTCACTGAAAGTGTCCTTAGCTTTCAATGAAATCACTTCATACCACTCTTGAATATCTTCTGGTGCCTAAAAAAATGTTTCACCACATAAGGTTTCACCACTGCAGAAAAAGTCAAAGAAATGAAAAAAATATGTGCCAGCATACTTAATTTGGAAAAAACCCTCCTCTTTTACATGTGTTTAATAGATTTATTAAAGCTGTATTTGTTTATGAACACTCTATTTGTTTATGAAATACCAGTTATGAAAACAAGATTATGCTACATTTTAGTACAATAGGACCAAATATATTTTCCTGGATATTTAACTTCCTCCATGCATAATTTGGAGTCCATTGAACTACCAGTTCTCAGATGCTGGTTTATTTTCCTAACTGTGAATCTTTTTGTTTGTACTTGTCTTATAACTTTTAAAGTGTGCCATACAGTCCTTATCATATGAAAGTAGCCTTTGTTACTTCTCATAGAGCAAAATAATGATCAGTGGAGGGCTTTCATGCTGGCTCAGCTGGCAATGAATAGCATTTATTCATGATACAAAATTAGTAAGTTCAAATAAATATTTTAGTTTCTCTGTATTTGCTTTTTTAAAAGAATTGCACTTAAGTAAGTTAATATTTGGGTTGCCACCTTGGCTGTAGCTGTTGCAAAGAGTAATCCCTCTTAAGATGTAAAGAAATTAAACTCTGTTCTTTGCTCTGTGGGGAAACACAGCTGGAGAACCCTGTTGAGAGGTGTAAATTCAGGAACAGAGCCCAGCAGCAGAATCCCAGGATTAAGAATATACTTAAAGGTTTTTCTGCACTGGCAAAATGCTGGAAAAAGCTGTATCTAAAAGACTGGAAACAGAGTTACAAATAAAACTGGTTCAAATATTAGAGGGTTTCTGGTGGTTGATCCTATAACTGTCCATAGGTGTCAGGATATATATCAAGCATTACAAAATTTCAAGCATTCATAGTGCCATCCCTCTTTTTAAAGTCAGCTGCCTGTGAAAGTCACTGCTTCACAACATGTAGCTCCACAAAATTATCTTCCATTCTTTGTGTATGGTAGGAAATGCTCTTTTTAGAGTAAAATTGTCATAAACATCATATTATTTTCTTTCTCCTCTGTCCTTCCATGTTTTACTGATACAAACATAAGGTGGATAATTCAGCACTTGTCTTGCATTGTTTCATAAATAATGCTCTCTCTGGTAGTCTACCTCATAAATGGCAGTATTTTTCTAGAAAATATTGTAGGTTTTGATTTTTAGCAATCCCTTTCCAGCCGCAGCTGACAGCTGCAAATTCCAAACATCTGTTGGCATTATTAATATTGCACATGAGCTACATGTGGAAATGTCCTTGTCACTGAGCAAGTAACAAGTTTGTAAGTAACAAGTAACAGTGTGGGTGTGACTAAGTTGCGTATTCCACAGCACCCATCATGGTGCGGGTGTGGATTTGGCAGGAGAAGGCAGGGATAAGCACAGGAGGTTCTCCACCTGGCCGGGGCTGTGGATTTGGCAGGAGAAGGCAGGGATAAGCAGGGAAGTTCTCGTCCTGGCCGGCCCTCCCTGGGAAGGTGTCGGGCTCAGCCCTCTCCACCCCGCTCCCCGTTGGCCCCGGGCTGCGCTGCCGCTGCTGGTGCTGAAGGACAGCAGCGATGGGCCCGGGCACGGCTCGGGACAGCAGCGATGGGCCCGGGCACGGCTGGGGACAGCAGCGATGGGCCCGGGCACGGCTCGGGACAGCAGCGATGGGCCCGGGCACGGCTCGGGACAGCAGCGATGGGCCCGGGCACGGCTCGGGACAGCAGCGATGGGCCCGGGCACGGCTCGGGACAGCAGCGATGGGCCCGGGCAGGCTCGGGACAGCAGCGATGGGCCCGGGCACGGCTCGGGACAGCAGCGATGGGCCCGGGCAGGCTCGGGACAGCAGCGATGGGCCCGGGCACGGCTCGGGACAGCAGAGCCGAGCCCTGGTGATCCAGTCCTGGGAGCTGTGACAGGGACACTAAAAGTCCTGCTGGCACTGGCACCCATACGGGCGGGGATGTCCTCACTGAATAAACCAGGCCGGTGAATTTTCCCCATAGGGCATGCACTGCACCCAGCGTCTTCCCTCTTCAAAAGACATCCTGCTTCACCTGAGACAGCTATTCCAGGAAAGCAGCTGGTTTATTCGGTGATTTCTTCTGCTAACCCTGACATTATTTAAAGTAGGATTAAGTTCTAATTATTTTTAATGTCATTATCAGAATTATTCCAACAGACTTAGTCATGGTTGTGCTTTTGAGATGAGATTAAATATGTATTGTCCTTTTGCCAATGGAAGAATTCTACTAGGTTTTTTTGGGTTTTTTTGGTTTTTTTTTTTGGTTTTTTTCCCCAGTATTTTGTGTCATGGTCTACAATTCTGCTGAAGTTATGCTATGATACTGTGAGTTTTGCAATAGTAAGAATAGTGCAAATGACAGTGACTTGGACTTTACATTTTTGAGATATGCCTTCTGTGTCATCCATAAAAGAAAGAACAGCTTTAGCAAATAAGAAATCTGAGGGAAAATGTTGAAAGTAAAATAGTCTAGAGCATTATTTTTAAATATCTTACATACAATTGAAGAAAATTTTGGAATGAAATAACGTTGCATTAAAAATCAAAACATTATTTTGAAAATACCAGAGTACTTATGTGGGGATGGGGAGTTGCATCACTGAGTCAGTCAGTTCTACGTGCTCAAAAGAAATTCAGTAGAAAAGTTCCAGTTTCTCCTTAAATGCATGTTCCACCAAAAAAGTTTCTTTCCTCTGAGGCTATTTCAGTTATAAAGCCTGCTGGGAGTACTTCCAGCACAATCAGCAGGTGAAGTTCTTACATGTGGCTTTGTTACTTTGGGGAATATAGGAGGAAACATAGATGTTTTTAAAAAGCTATGATTATTTGCTCATTTAGAATTGCTCCTAATGTCAAAATGCTTTAGTGCATGGCAAGAAATTTTCTCCTTTTTAGTCAGAAGATGGCAGGTGCTGTGATTTTGTGCAGGCTGCGATTTTTTGAAGAAAGACAAGAAGCCAAAACATGGTATCTGTCCTGTTAGAGATAGCACAAATAGTGTGAACAGTAGGTAGGAATGGCTCATGTCCCCAGTGGTTAGAGCTGTCCTTCTTTAGAGCAGATACTCTGCACACACTAACTAGCTTTTGATTTTTATGCCCCTGGAATTCTCTGTCCCCTTATGGCCATAAAGCATTATTATTTGGGTAATAGTGGGATGACTGGACAAAGTGCTTGAAGTCACTTAAGGGCTATGGTGCAGCCCTCCAAAATGGTGTTTTTATACAAGGAACCTG